AACTATCCACACCCTAACGACTCCTCCTGCATGTGTATCTTCTCCTTCGAGGACTACCATAACACGAAGTTTCATGATCTATTTCCAACTTCCCTCCTCCCTGCTTTGCTACACTAGTTCTTGACGCTTAGATTTTTTTTAAAAAAAGGTTCGCAGGCAATCCAAAAAGAATTTCCTAATGAACTGCAGACTGTAGCATAGCTCAAAGTAAAAACTAAAATTTGTGATAGGTTTTCCCCCTTACTTTCTGTGCATTTTTCACTGAAGGTGACACTCCAAATGTAGCACCAATATTTTCAGTCCTACTATAATATGTTTTACTTTTTGTCTTGGGTTCCTAATTACTGTTTCTCTTCCCTTCTAAAAATTCATTTATCTCTTTCAGTAAAAAGAACAGTAATAATATGTTGAACAACTCCGAAATAAATTTTGTCATGTAAAAAATTAATTACGCATTCCGAACCTGGTCACCGTAGTCCTCCGGGAATTGCCTCTGCACCTCAGGATCTGTAAATAATTGACAGATAATATTAATTGGCTTTGGATTAGTGAGCAAGCAGAGGATCACACATTAATATTTGATCAGAAGATGATAGCAGCCCTGGCAGGGGATCCGAGGGGGGCAGCTGAGGCCGCTATGCTGATGAGAACAAGGAAGGACTCGGCAAGGCACTCCCCCTGCCCTCCTCCAGAAATAGAAAAAAGACAAATCTTAAAGACCTGATGCCACTGTTAACTTTAGACCATTACCTAATGCAAAAACCTTGCCAGCTGCTAACTGCCCTCAACATATTTTTCCGGAGAAAATGAGTCTTAAACCTGCTCGACTTTTCTTCCCTCTTCAGAAGCCTCTTTCTCATAGTTACAGATGTAGGCTTGATAAACCTCCTTAAACACCAGTTTCAGACGGTGGCCGGAGGGACTGCTGGTGAGGGAGAGAGTATTCTTTCAAGGAACAAGTGCAAAATTCCTTGCTTTTAAGAATAAAATATATCCTTCCCAAAATATTAATGAGCTTTTGAAAATACAGATAAAACTAGGTAAAGTCTTCTTCAAAACAGAACCAAACAATATACTTTTAGCTTGCAAGTAAAGACAAAATATCATGTTAGAGATGTTCTAACGTAATTAGACTTGCTCAGAAACTATAAAGATACAGAGGTGAAAATACCTTTCATGACCATCTGTTTAACATGGAATTACTAAAGGGGTCGCTTGATTCTGCCATCATAATTGCAAAATAATCTAATGCCATTGTCTGAAAGTCAATATAGAAGTGTACTAATTAAAAGCTATTAGCACTCCATTTGCTATCGATTAGGAAAACATTCAATCTTTTCTAATAAAAGATTTGGTTCCTCAGAGACACATTAAGGAAAGTGATCAGAATAATATCTATTTGGGAAATTATGTATCAGTGCAAAAAGCTTATGGAAAAGCACAATATTTGCAGATCACAAGATATACTACTCATATATCTACTCATTTTCACATCTATCTTTTAAAACACCAATTTACTTCTCTGTGAAAGTGAATACATGTAAAAGTTAAAACCCTTCAAATCACAAAACAAAAATGCAGTTAATTCTTCGGTAGGGAAGAATCAAAAAGGGAGAAAATTAAGGGCCTATTCATGTACTACATTTAAATCCTAAAAATACTAGTTCTCAAGTCATTAAAGTCAATGGATGTTATTTTTCAAAACCCAAGACTAATAACACTTGCAGAATATTCAAAAGGTCACATCAAAAGCCAAGTTTCCCAAAATGGATGGTGCAAAAATGTTGAAAGGATCTGTAGACCATTTTGGCTCTTGAGGTGTCTGTCTTCTGGTTGATTTAAAAACTGGGGATCAGTTTCTTTTTTTACCTTCATCTTCAAATACTAGAAGAGACAAAAGGCATGTCCAGACCATGCCTAGCAGAATTCCGGTGTGATCCGGGACGCAGCTCTGTGCGGGGCTGCCCTGGTAGGCCAACAAACGCCCCCCGCGGCTTCTCTCTGGCCCAAAGGGCTGAATCGCACAAGGACTTGGTTGGTCCTTGAGACAGAAGGCCAGAGGGTGCACTAGGTAGGTCTACAGGGAAGAATTAGGCAGCAGGATGCAAAGAAAAGGACAACCTAGATGGCCAACGAACTTCTAAAACTGGGGAAGGGCAGGAGGGAGGAGCCTAAAAAAGACAGCAGTGCCTACAATTCCTAAAACACACATAAATGATTTGGCCTAGAAAAAAAGGAACAGTATTTTAGGACTTAAAATTTGGTCCTAAGACCCACCCCACCCACTCCCCCCAAAAAAGCACATTTCTAAGTCACAGAGGTACATAGTAAAATAGGCTGGGAAAGCCACAAAATAATCTAAGGCTCATTCTTCTTCTTCCAGTTGTCTGTCACATGGTTAACACTTACTCTTCAACCAGAAAACTTAAGACAGAAATGATGCACATCGAAATCTTTAATATCATGTCTTCTATCTAGCAGTAGTTTATGCTTCTCGGGTACCACAAAATACCAATGGAAATAAAGATGGAATAAAACCATAGATTTTATTTTTTATCACCATTCTGTGAGGGGATGAACATCAGAAACCAAAATTTGTGGCACAGTCTTCAATTTAAAAAAATAAGTTTCTTGAGATAGGTGGGAGGTTTTTAAATCTCTTTAACCAATTATGTTAATAAGAAATTAAGTTAATAATTAACTTGTCACTTTAAAACGTATTTTATTCACATATACAACTAGCAGAATTGAAAAAAAGAGAAGAAAACATAGATAAAAAGAAAAATCAACCTATTTTAATCTACTGAAGGTAAATATGACCAGGGAATGCCAAGATGGGGGTCATTCAAGCCATATTAGTCTAATCACCACCTCAGTGGTAGATGACATCATCAACATCAACTATGTTCTTTCGAATCTCCGAAAAACTAACCCAAGAGTGAAATCCCAGATTTTAACAGCATCATGTTCCAAGAAAATATGTGAATTATTATTTACTATGATTCAAGCATCAAACTTGTGATTTCCTTTCTTTAAAGCCCTGAGGTTTACAAAAGCAAACTTATGGGTCCTTAACACTCTTCTAAAGCAATATTCTAAAAACGGGGTGGGAGGAAGCAATGCTTTTTAAAGCCAAAGTGCAACCTATAAAGTTCCATTCAATTAGCTCAGAGATCCAGCCTGATAGTTAATAAAAACTATGAAAGCCATTTTGTAAAAATTAACACAAAAACTGAAAATAATTTGTTTGAATTTTCTTAAAATGTCCGTTGTACACAGTAGGTCGAAATCTTTTTTCGCATGGAGTTAATCGTTATGCCATAATGTCACCAAAATATCGACACTGGAAACATCTGAGTTAAAAAGGTCTAAATACAATCTGCTTTTCTCAAGCAACACAACACCCGCCTCACTAACAGCTTCAGCATGGCACATGTACAAAACCGAGCACCCTGCAGTTAAGCAAACCGCCTTTAAATTTTCTGTCTGGCAGCCATCCACTTGCGTGTCTGTATGTTTTTACAAGTACTCTATGTATTTCATTGCATCAGCTGCATTTCTTTGAGTTTTAAATGGTCTGGGAACATTTTATGAAATGTTCTATATCTTTATATGGAAAATAACATACACTGGAAAACTGTGCATCGGTCTAATATTTATATATCTATTTCTTTATCCACCATCCAATGCTATAATTGCTAATGTTCCAAAACACCTTCTCACATTCATACCCTCACCGCCAAATGCAGTGTCACCAAACAGCTAACTTTAAACACAAAAATCTGCAGATGAGAGAACTACCATGGAAAAAAGTAACAATTTGCTTAGGCAATTGGCAGTAAGAATAGCGTTATCGGCATATGTCAAGCTTTTTTTCTAAGAATCTCCCTCCGACAGGAAATTAAGTACATAATACAGTGGTACACAGCATACTCTTCCATCCTTAGCCTTCTCTCTCAGCAACTTTCTCCAGATTTAAGTAATACATTATTACAAAATGAAAAATCGATTTCATCATCTCCTAGGAAAAGACTTTCAACAACAACAACAAAAAAACCTGTATTTAAAATATCTTGCCAAAAAGATGGTATGGTAGAGTTCATACTTAGCCACATAAGCCTATAAGAGGCAGTCAGCTCTGCCTCTTATATCAGTGTGATAGCCACTACCTTCTCCCAGCACCATGGCCCCACAAGAGGCTGTCTCCACACAGGACACATACACCACTTCCACTGGAGGCCACAAGAAGCATTTCCATATAAAACAGACCTTCCACAGCACAGACGTCCAACAGCACCATCTCATTCAGGCAGAGAATATGACCATGCTTAAAAGGCTACATCTTCACAGCAAAAAAGTGAGATCTCAGAACAAGTATGTCTTACTTCTTTTTAAAAAAAGAAAGGCTAATTTTCTTCAATCTCAATAGTCCATGTTTTCTAGTCTTCTACTATAACATACTTTTAAATCTTTAAGATACACCAGATTGCCACAGGATGTTTAATTAATAGAATAAGAGTTTGGGCAAGACTTACTAGAAAGGTGCTATAAATTATTTTACACAGGCTCCAAAACCTTGAGTTCTGCCTTAGGCTGAAAGTTCCTAGAAAACGTGGTAGACAGATCTTTTACAACAGAAATGCAAAATAATTCATAAAAGTACTGTGGTTATGTATGAGGGCTCATTTGTAGATCGGTAACTAGTATACACACGCGCGCGCGCACACACACACATGCGCGTGCACACACACTCTCACCAAATGATTTTCCTGTTTTTCTCTGTCACACCAATGACTCCATTTGAAGAGTCAAGGCATGACATTTTAACTTATCGAAAAATACGCTGTCTTCATTTTCCGTGAAAGACATAACAACTGCATACTCACCAAATGTTACAATTTGGAAATTTAAGAGAAACTGCAAACGTGGCCATTACAGAGAGCTACACTGCTTTCACTTTCAACATGTTAGGTTATCAGGGCAGAAAACATCACATTTAACGTCTACTAAATTTATCCAGTTATTATCTCTAGAATATTTCAGTCAATAAGAGACAAAATACTGAACACATTTAAAGCTTACGATTATAAAAAAATCTGCCCTTTAAAAGCGAGACTTTAAAATTAGCTATAAACGATATAATCTCATTGTTCAATTTCATGGAGTTTAAGACATTATCTTCTTCTCCCCACAACCACAAATGTTAATCCAAGCTGTAATCAGATTTAATTTTCCAGATGAGAAGATGAGAATATGCTACAAACGAGTAAGAGTCCATTACACCGTTCTCCGTTCT